TGTGGTGTGCTGTGTGTGTGGTCGTGGGCTATGTCAGTCACCCCCTATTTTACTGAAAACAGCTTTAGGACTTGAATAGGATAATTGGAATTTTGGGTATACGGGTTAAAAATTGGATACCAGAAGTGGGATTTTACTCTAGCTACAGGGGAGTACCCTGGAGGTAACAGGGGGACCCCGCGCTCAGGGGTGTGGCGACTGACACATTTTGTCAATTCCATGGGTGTTACTTATCATTACTATCCGATCGATGTGTGTGGTGTGTGTGTGCGTGCGTGTGTGTGCGTGCGTGCGTCAGTGCGTGCTGCTGCGTGCGTGAGTGTGTGGTGTGTGTGTGTGTGTGTGGTGTGTGTGTGTGTGTGTGTGTGTGTGTGGGTTGTGTGTACTCACCGGACGGTCTAATTTGCGTCCTTGTGTGTACGACTTTTATAGAGTGTCTGTACATAGTAAATTTGAAGTATACTTTCTAATTAAACTTGGATTGACCTCCTACGGTGGTTTGGGACGTCACCTTAGTGCCAACTGGAAGTTCCCCTACAAAAAAAAACTCTTATACAACAAATTACTGTAGAAAGTACCTTTGATCTAAAAACGAACCGAAAACAAAGCCTGTGAAATTCTGAGGGAATTGAGTGTGGTTCCAATCTTTTCATCATAAGGGAAAGTTCGTCGAAGTGAAACCCTGTAAAATGAAGTTTTTGATAAAACTTTTGTCTATAAATAACTGTCCTTTATTATCGACATCACAATATCGTCCTAATTGAGAAACATAACTTATCAAATCTTTCTATCTACAATAAAGAAATCACCGTTCTTATAGTACCTGGCGGCTGTTTCTCTGGAAAAGAAATAAATGAAATATAATAAATTACCTAACTGAGGAATCCAACTTCGACACTGGACCCACTATACACCTAATGGCGCACAGCGGGTTCCCTGACATATAATAATATTGGTAGAATTTGTTTAGTACTTATACTAAAGTCTCAGGAAAAAAATCAAGGAATAGAGATAACCTGACAAGTGACAATAAAAGTTCCAGAACAAAAGTCACACTCTACATTAGCCATCATACGATGAGGAAGTACAGTCTCCACGGTGTCTAATTTTAGAACTGGCAATCGTTGTAGGTCTCTACTATATAAATTATTCTTGACGGTTCTTATTGTTTCTTTAACTCAACCTAAAATTGAGAGATAGTATAGATCCCTTTCGTACGGTTTACCTAGACTTTACTTACGAAATCACAGACGAATACACGATCCTTGTCCGTCCTTAGTATAACCGACATTTTTTGCACGATTAATTTACTATAACTACCATGAAACCTTTATTGGGTCGTTGTGAACACCATCTGGTGTTAGTACAACTATTGTATTACAACCAGCTGGAAAATCAAACACTGGGAAACCAATGACCTAAACTTACGTGGTACCTAGTACAGACATACGTACCTGTGTGTGTGTGTGTGTGTGTTGTGTTGAGAGTGCGCGTGTGTACTTGTACCGGGTAGTACAGGTGTGAAAGAACATCCGACAAAATTATGGGTTTTGCTTTCGTATTGTGACTAAATTGTCCGAACCCATCGACACACACACACCACACACACACACACCACACCACACAACACACACACACACACACACACAACACACACACAACCACACACAAAACACACACACAACACCCACACACCCGGATCACCAATTACACACAATTTTGTGTGTGTGTGTGTGTGTGTGTGTTGGTGTGCGTGTGCGTGTGCGTGTGCGTGTGCGTGTGTGTGGATTTCAATATGGTAAATAAATGAGACCATGGTGGAGATATTGGAAATATATCTCTCAATCTGTTTTCACTAATTGGTTGTTTGCTCTGATGTTGTTGCAGTACTGGAAATCTATTTTATTGCAAAAAAACAGCTGAAAACTGCCTCCTTTTACCCAAAAAGTATTCCCTGTTTACTTCCATATGTGGGTAGAAATATGATCTCCTTTGTGTATCAGACAAGTAGTGTGCACCTCCAAAATGAATGACAGTGGAGCGCTCATTTATTTCTTCTTCTCGACAGCACAATCAAGCTTCTTTGGGTCAAGCAGGGCCCAAAGAAACGTTGGACAACATTTAATCCTTCGGGAACATCATTTCGTTTCGAGGAGTGTCAGCGGTCCTACTCGTGACTTCTCAGTAAGCTCCGGGGGTAAACAGGCACTCTCGACCAATCACATATACAAATATCTGAACGGTTTCCAAATGCTAATGGAAGCCAGGTCTGCTGAGGTCTGGAGGAGAGCTTCCTGTGAGAGGAATGTTTGGAGAGAAATAGATAAGTTGTTCGAATACGAAGAGGGAAAATGTGATTTGTGATGCAACACGAAGCATTACTGGCAGGAAAAGGCTCAGTGTACGATATTAGCATTTCTGCCAGTGGAAATGTCATCATCCTGAAAGCTTATTATGGATCTTAATACTTTGAGCTCTTGAGGATCTAGAAACTTTAGACCCAGATACCCTAAAAACATTTCCATAAAAGAGGGATCTATCTAGTGTCTTTGTTTTCTGTTTACATGAGTGATTGAGTGAAGAATGTGTTGTGTGGGTGGTTGTCTGCGTGTGCGTACATGTTTACGTGTGTTTTAGGCCTTAAGATTATAAACATCCCATAATTATCTCTGATTGCCCGAAAGACCCCCTGACTTCTTCAAACCCACAGTGGTACAGCTGCCATTAAAATGTTTAAGGCCCGGTCACATTTACAGCTTTGCAACAAGTGGTGATATAAATTAAACTGAAGCTGTTTTGCAGTTTTATCAAATATTTTAGCTGGTATTTTCTTCCCATAAGAGGAATTTATTGATAGACACTGAAGGGCATGTGACTCTGGTTTAAGGGTCCATAATATTTCCTTCACACTGTACCGAAATTGTACTGCTTTTCTCAAAAAATGTGTTAAATGTTAAATAAAATGGACGTTTGTCTAACTACAGTTCTGTTCTGAGTCTCATGTATTACCCTTTTGACTTTACGGGATACAATAGTAGAATAATCTGCATTCTACATCATTTCCTCTATTGCCGCCATAACATCAATATTCATATTCAAAACAACAATGGTCCTAATATGGAGCTCTGTGGTACCCCACATGTTACATTATCGGTTAACAGGGCCTCGTAAACTTTACACACTGGTCTACAGTTTGCCAGGTAGTACTAGTAGTTCCTCACTTCATTTATTAGCATTCGAAAAGTTCATTTTTATGCCCTTGCCCCTTCACATTACGTTAGACTTTTATACAAAGTGCTTGTATAGTAGTTTGTGTTTGAGAAGATCTTCTTCCAGGAGATTTTATACCAATCTCTCAAAAACGTTTGATAGCATGTTTAAGATTGAAGCAGGTCTTCTTTAGTTATCCTGGGTGTTTAGATAATTTCGGAACATCCAGCCTCTTCAGTAATACAAAAATGTGTAAGAAGGGATTTAAATATATAATAAAATAAATAAACCAATAAACAAAAAAAGCCTGCAGAAAATAGTTAGACAAGCAAAACTGTTGATCGGAAATATCTAAATTCAACCATAATCAGAGAGGGTTATAGGGCAAAAAGTGTCAAAACGACCTAAATGCCAGTTTCTTGCTGACACGGCATTTAGTAAAGGAAGGATCAGAGTGCTGCCTCTCTTATTAAGCAGTGAAAGGAAGAGGGCACCCTGCTGCTCTCAATTCTTAATTAGGAGCCGGTCCCCACAACCTGTGCAACAGCTGATCTGACATTGGTTTAAAAAAACAAACATATGAAGACTTTTTGGTTGTTGCTTTCATTCATGTCTAGAAATTAGCAGGTAAACTAGTTAAACCATCAGATATATTCTCCGAGGTCACAGAGAATCCTTACATCACATTATTATGAATGACGTTATTACTGTAGGCGCGCATTGATTTAGTTTTCCTTTCATTTCCATTCCTTACATGTGCATTCGACTACCAGAAAACCAAGTCATTGTATGCATGCGTGTCTCTGGCAGTGTTTATTTTGAACGCGTACGGGCATAATTACAGTATGGAAGAACACAGCTGTATGGCAGTGTATGGATCCTGGTTACATAACACAGGAAAAAAAGGTTATTTTAATTTGTAATGGCAAACATCCCTCCTCTGGCAGAGCTGCTGTGCTGAGTGAACGAGGCCCTGCTTCGCTTGAAATACTCCAGAGAGCAGAGTTAAGTGATGTGAGCAGCTGCACCTCTGTTATTCTAAACACATGGAGGGAAATGAGGGAGGATTTTTATTCTGCAGCTCCTCCCAAAAACTCTGAATGAGGGTTAACCAAGGGTCCTATCGTGTGTCTGTACAGGGTCATGTGTTGGGTGCAGATTTG